TTGTTTATAGACAGTTCAACATTGAGTTTAAAGGCAGTGTTATTGCATATTGGAAATATTTTACCATCTCTTCCTGTAGGGTATGCAGTTCACATGAAAGAATCATATGACAATATGAAGTACCTATTGACATGCATAAAATACGATGAGCACCAATAGCATATTTGTGGCGATTTGAAAGTTGTTGCACTTTTTCTTGGGCTGCAGCTAGGCTACACAAAGTTTTGCTGTTTTTTGTGTGAATGGCACTTCATTACACCAGACAAAACTGGCCTGTTCGTCAATTCCTAGAGCCAGGTCAAAAAATGTACAGCATATTCCATTAGTAGATTCGAAAAAAAATTTATTACTACCACTGCAAATCAAGTTGGGCCTAATGAAAAACTTTGTCAAGGCATTAGATAGAGATGGGTCAGCTTTTCAATACCTGCGTCAGAAATTTCCAAGACTAAGTGAGGCAAAGGTTAAAGAAGGTATTTTTGTTGGGCCACAGATTCGAAATATTTTGAAAGATACACAGTATGAAAACTCTTTAACAGGTATTGAAAAAATTGCTTGGAATGATTTCCGTCTGGTGGTCACTAATTTCTTGGGAAATAGAAAAGCTGACAACTATAAAACCCTTGTCAAAAATATGCTGTCATCGTATCAAAAGATGGGCTGTAATATGTCTCTTAAGATACATTTCCTACACTCACACCTGGACTTTTTTCCTGACAATTGCGGAGCCGTAAGTCTCGAGCACGGCGAACGTTTTCATCACGATATTTCAACAATGGAAAAAAGGTACCAGGGAAAGTGGAATCCTTCCATGCTTGCAGACTACTGTTGGACTCTTGGTAGAGATGCTCCAGAAACGATCCATGAAAGAACAGCAAAAAGACAGCGCATATAGTGATTCTTATAAGTATATGAATCTTGTTACTTTTTTTAATATATCCTTAAAAATAAAAAGTTTTTTTTCTAAACCGCAACTAATTTTTTTATTTCATTGTGATTTTTGGATTCAGCGCCCCAAAATTAACAAAGAAGTGCACTTTTCCCACAGGGTACAATTTAAAAACTAAAATTTGTTGTCCAGTGATTCTCAGCCAGAAATATTATTTTTTTTTACACTGGTCTGCAGGCATATCGCGGGTCGCGAACAGCTCGGCTCGCATATGCAAACGCGGCTTAAGAAACATAAAATGGAGCGAATGAATGATATTTTAAGAATTCTGAGTCGCTGGGAGAGCCGCAAAAAAATCTACTATAATTTATGTAGGGATGGGGTAGTTTTCACCCCTTTCGAACCATTCCGGGTTTTTTTAAAAGTCGAATATTAGGACATCTAGCAAAACACACGTGCAATAAATTTCATTCAAATCGGGATAAAATAAAATAAATAAAATAAATCAGCAATTTTGCATAGAGGTAAATCATGTTCAGTCGACTCATTTTAATTTTCAAACTACATAGTAAAGGGTGTCTCATAAATATTTTCTTATTTTATGCCATAAATAAAAATACTTAGAATATTTTTACAAAGATAAATTTATTACCAAACGAAAGCCTAAACATTAATTTTATTTATGGAAAAGAGTATCGGATAAATGAGCACCGTTCATGTTTTCACACTATCTTAATCTCGAACTGAAGTTTTCGATCACTCTCCGAAGCATTGCTCGAGGAATGGCGTTTATTTCATCTGTTATTTTTTGCTTCAACTCTCTCAAATCTTGTGGCGGTGGGGTGTATACCTTACTCTTCAGGTATCCTCATAAGAAAAAATCTGCTGGTGTCAAATCGGGACTTCTCGGTGGCCAGTTAATGTCTCCTCTGCGACTGATGACCCTCTCTGGGAATAACTGATGAAGAGCATCCAAGGATTCATTCGTGACATGAGAAGTCGCTCCATCTTGCTGGAAAAACGTGTTTCTATTGTAGCCACCATGGTTCTGTATAGCTGGAGTTAAAAAAGTCCTAGTCATGTGGCAGTAGCGCTCAGATGTTACAGTTTGAGCTTGGCCACGATTGTCTTCAAAAAAATACGGGCCAATGATTCCTTGCCCTGACATAGCAGCCCAGACGATAACTTTAGGCGAGTGTAATGGCGTCTCATGAAGATTTTGCGGGTTCTGCTCGGCCCAATATCGGCAGTTTTGTTTATTAACATGCCCGTTATAATGATTTCTGTACAAACGACGTACAAGCACATCGGAATCCTTGTTTTTATAGAACTCGCGAACACAAAAAGCACGTTGCGGCCCTGTAAAACGCTCCATTGCAACTAAAATTTAACAATGTTGCCAAACGTTTGTCAACTGTCTCGTTTCTCCGGAGCATGCGTATTCCGCCAGAGGACTGATCTAAAAACGAAAATATTTCTGAGACACCCTTTACTTCTATGTCCACATTGGCACACCCTCTATTAGGCTTTCGTAGATTTCGTCTGTTTTATGCAAGTGTAGTGTTAATTTGTTAGGTATATTTAGCCTGACCAAAATTCCGATTTTGAATTTCAGTGTCCATTCATTTATAGAAATAATTAGTTACTCTGCTTGTTTGTCGGATACGCGTAATCTGAACGCCATGCGAGCGGCATCATCATCGCGGAGCAATCCATCCAAACTACGTCAGTGGGATATGTGCAGAGCCACCTGCGGTCATGCCCCGACTAATCATAAAGCAATTAGCTTTGTCTCTGTGCATGCTCTCGCACATTTAAACTTCCAATTAGTTGCAGACGTAATTTACGATTTATAATTAATTACGTAGGACTATCTGTCTAAGTCAGAATGCGCTTTTGGTCTACTGCTTTGTATGTATAATCTCATTATCAGAAGATGATGAGGATCTTATGAATTTTTTTCTCGGCAAGGCAGTAGGCAGACGTGTTGAAAACGCTAAAAGGAATCCGAGCTTCCCAAAAACACGAAACTTGACTGATGTCATTAAAATGGAAAAATCCATGTAAATTCTGAGTTCGGCATTAAAAGAACAATTCTCGGAACAATTGAATATACTAATTCAATGGTCGACAACCAGCGATGGGCACATTGTATGCACCATGTATAATACGCGTATACAATGGTCAAAATATACGTCTCGATGTACAATGTACAGAATGTACTTAATACAGGGTGTAAACGTTATGGTAGTCATTATTGAAATGGGTAATAGGGGGGGGGGTCAATGCAAGTCAAGAAGTTCATATGACCCATGGTCCAAAAGTCTATAGATTTTTGTCTAAATGGCTTTATAGTTTACAACTTTAACTGCTTTATATCGACCACAATCTTACTAATTTTTATAATCAAATCTAAAACATTTTTAAATTGGGTAAATAACAAATAAATGGCATGAACTTTTTCTAAGTTAAGCCAAAATTTGTAGTCAGTAAGTAAATTTCATTAAATTAGATATTCAAAACACACATGACAACAGCGCGTCGTCATCACTGTTATCGAATCGGCAATCCATCGCAAATGGTAACAGTGGTTAGTTAACGGACATCGGGCGTGTTTGTTTTTGTTCGCATACGTCGTCGATTTTTCTTACAATGTTCTCGGATCAAAAGTTCGCCGACATGTTGTTAGTTTACGGTGAAGCTCGTCAGAATTCAAATCTTGCAGCTCAAATTTATCGCGACAGACTTCGCCAACGGGTACACCCAGACAGAAGGATATTTGTGCAAGTGTACCAAAGACTTCGAGATACAGGAAGTGTTCAGCCCACTAATATTCGCACTCGCGAAAGACCGGTCACTATAGAGCAGGAGGAATAAATTTTAAATATCGTGGAAATCAATGCAGATATCAGCACTCGGGAATTAGGCCGCCGCGTAGGACTGTCGCATACCATAGTCCATAGAATCCTACCCGAAAATTTGATTTATCCCTACAACGAATGCAGGCCTTGATACCAGAAGACTATCCTCGCAGACTAACATTCTGTCAGTGGTTTTTGCACAAAACCATGGAAAATACGGATTTTTTTTAAAATGCATTCTAGCGACGGACGAATGTACTAATACGCGAGATGGGATATTAAATTTCCATAATACTCACACGTGGGCCCAAGAAAATCCTTGTACGTGAAGGTCATTTCCAACAACGTTTTAAAATAAATATGTGGGCGGGTGTTCTTGACGATCAGGTAATGGGCCCTTTTGAGTTACCCCCAAAGTTGTCAGGAGAAGGATACCTTAGCTTTCTAGCCAGTAACCTACCAGAACTTTTGGAACAGACCTTAGACAACATACCATTACAACGGAGACAGAATTTGTGGTTTCTTCATGACGAGGCACCACCACACATTTTTAGAGACGTCTTCAGTATTTAAATGAACATTATCCAAATCGCTGGATCGGTAAATGCTCCTGATCCTCGAAAATGTCCAGCAAGATCCGATGGATTTCTGGTATTGGGGAGAACTTAAAGGAATGGTTTATGGGGCTGGTCCAATAACAACTAAAGCACAACTTCGCGAAAAAAAATTTAATGCGGCTGAAATAATAAATGGACAACTTCGAGGACCTAGAGCAAGAAGAAACTGGGTTCGTCGTAATGAAGCTTGTGTGGAAAGTGGAGGACGACATTTTGAACACCTTCTTTAAATCCAAAGAAAAGTGCAGTGTGGGTTTTAAAAAGAAAAACAATGTATGTATCAAAATTGTGTTCCCTATTTATAACTGGATTTTTTTAATATGTTCAATAAACTTTCACACACCAGGTGAAGCGCTGAGACAGTTAGTCGTAAGTCCGTTTTTTTAACTGTTTGCATTTTACGAGTACATTATCAAATAATGAGATAATACCTAAGAGCCAAAAATAACAAACTCCATCTTTATTTGCACTGGGTTCCGTCGTAATTTGCGTCTGGCATTGCGACGTTGTCAGATTTTATTGTGCTTTAAAGTCGCTTTTCTCTAAAAAAATGCCGTTTTGACCCCCATGTTATATGAACCTTTTTGCGTCTTTTAACCCCCTCTATCACCCATTTAAATAATTAGAGGAGAGTGACCAAATATGGAATACCATTTTGTTTTTCACACATAATTTGCACAAACTGTACAAATAAAAAATATTTTGTAGTCATTAATAATAATCATATATTTACGCTTTGTTTTGTAACAAGTTTTGGTTACATTGAGAAATTTTAAATAAAATTTAAAACAAAAACTAAATAATTATAGGTATCTAAATATGGAATAGGTGGGGTACCTATGGAATACTATAAATAACAACAAAATTTAACATTAACTTAAATGAGGTTCTTTGGAAACGTACGTTGGTATAACATAAAAAGGAACACAAATTGTTTGCAAAACTCACAAATCCAGGCATCAGACTCTGGTCCTGCGCAATCATTATGTGCCCAGAGCCCACACATGAGGCACTTGACCCATGTTTCCCCATGGGTATCATTTGAAAACAGCATGCCACAGAAAATACACTCCGCATCTTCAGAGTCTGGAGCTGTATTTCCTATCAAGGCATCGGTCTCACTCTCTGTATCTAACAGCATCATCTCCTCATCATCTGAATCTGACTGAGACTTAATCTTTTCTCTTAGCTTTTTACTTTTTGATTACTTTTTGTTTTGTTTTTCATTTTTATTCTTTGCCCATTTATTTTGTTTTTCTTCTTACTTTTTTCTATGAGATCCTCCCTGTAACGTGACGGTGTGATGACTGCTGCAACAGATGCTTTTCTTCCTCTATTAGAGGGTTTCCTTTTCTTGTTTGGTACTGGACTGATGTCATATGGAGAAACGAATCCTAAACTACTGTGAGAAATTCCGGAAGTTGAGGGCACAGGTTCAATATTTGTATCTTGTCTGGATGTAGAAGCTTCAGTTAAAGGCTTACCATCAGCAGGTGTTCTAAGATTGACCATCGATTCTTCTAAAGGTTGGAGACTTAATGTCATTGGTGTAACATCTACTGTGCAACCATCTTTAACTGCATCTTCTTGCGCAGCAAGATAGTCGACCGCGGTAAAAATATTTTTATTCAATGGCCATAGTTCTGTAACCCGAAATCCGTTGGCTGCTATCTCACCCGTTTGTACTTTTAAATAAGCCCTACCAAACAGCTCCGTCATATCATAAGGGCTTAGTGGTCTATTATTGTCTCTGATCCACATTCGTATTTCTTCACTGTAATACGTTTTGAGAGGTCCCATAAACGTCTTATCTAGTGGCTGGAGCTTGTGGGTTGTGTGAGGAGGTAAGGACACAATGTCTACATTATTTTCCCTAACAAGATCTATCACGTCGATGTTACGAGTATGAGAAAAATGACCATCCAAGATCAGTAATACTTTCGATTCCGGAGTAGGGTTGGTGTGTTTAATGAAATGTTTGAACCAGTCAGTGAATATGTTCATTTGTATCCATCCTGATGGATGTGCAATACCAACTGCGCCTGGGGGACTGCCTCTCATTAGCTGAGCACTCATATTCTTGCGAGGGAATATAATAAAGGGAGGTACAAAATGACCAGTGACGTTCATAGCAACAACAACTGTCATTAATGAACCCCTTTCAACTGGGGTAAGTGAAGCTATCTGCCGTTTCCCTTTATGGCCAACCACTTGGGGTATCTTGCTCTGTACTATGGTAAGCCCAGATTCATCAACATTGTATATGCGGTGTGGACCATAGTTTTTTTGAGCATAAACGCCTTCAATGAGATCAAAGAATAAGTCTACTTTGCTGAATCCAAATGCTCGAGCAAAAGATGTACCAGTTGGTCTTCTCACTGATAGTTTGTCCTTATGGCGCTTAAGAAATAGCTTAAGCCATTTCTTTCCAGCCAATCCCGTGTCACCAAATGGATTTTTCAACTGATTACGTTTTGCCAACATGTACGCCATTCTTCGAACATCGCTTCTCGTCAAGCCGTAGAATTTGCTCTCCATCGTCAAAATGTAGTCAACCAAAAGATTTTCAACGGTTGTCCCTAAAACGGTTTTCCTCCCAAGTGTAGTAGCTGCGGCTTCTTCTGGCGGTGATTCGTTTTTCTGGCATAATCGAAACAAGGTAGTTCTCGGCACACCAAAGTGTTTTGCAGCTCTTAAGTAACCCATTTGTTTCTCTCTTACTAATGTAATAGCTTGCGCCATGTTCTCTGCATTCCAATCTTTTCGTTTCGTTTTTGAGTTGACGCCAGCCATTCTGAGGAAAAATAGAAAACATACTTTTAAATTAACAGAATCATCAAATCAGCTGATACTTAAAAGCACCAATTATGGAATATTCCATAATTAGCTACTATGATTCGTCCATATCTGGATCTCCCAACGACTGCAAACTGACATTTATATTTTTATATTTGATAAGATAATACAATCATATACCGCTAAAATCCACAAAAGAACATCCAAACTATGTCTAGAAGTTATAACAACAATTAATACTGTATGCACTTTTTGTAAGAAAAATACGTGTTTTTTACGTACCTTACAAAGTTATGCGGAAGCGACAAAACGAAACACTGCGACTGTGATGAACGGGCTCGCTCGACTGACAAGCTACGACTTGTATGCGTAAACGCGGACTCGAAGACAGAGACGAACACTGTTTACTGCGTGTGTCATTTTCCATTTGATAGAAATGCCGGTATTCCATATTAGGGATACTATTCCATATTTGGTCACTCTCCTCTACTATCATAACGTTTACACCCTGTATATACAATAGCAAATCATAGTTCCACTACTTGCATATAGTGCTGGCGAAAAACCCCTTTCCCTTTTAGATTTCCATGTGTACGAGGAAGAGAGAGAGGAGGGACAAGCGGGCACCACTTGTGTAGAAAGAGTGCGCCACACACCACGTTGCCTGGCACAACAGTGATGAAGGCCACAGAATACAACTGTAACTTGCTGCAACACCTTCTTTTCTACGCCCAAATACACATTTCTGTCGAATCTGTTTGGGATCAATTCCAGATCGATCCTAATTGTTCTTGGATCTTAGGTGGAACTAAAAGTTCAGGATAGATACAAATTCTGCGACATTGCATTATTGGTTTCACTGTGGAAGCAGTTCATAAATAATGAAAAAATATATAATCTTTATTTATATACGTATACAAAGATACACTTTTAAATAAATTAAGAACAACAAATGAACCCTAGTTCATCGATTTCTTTGTTTTTGCAGCGTCCAACCATATTTTTTTTAAGCTTTCGATTCACTCTTTACCAGCTTTCTGACGTTTGCGAATAAACCTAACCTCACTTATGCTATTCTATACATTGTCTTCATCATTGTATACATTGTATTTATTGTATGCGTAATGTATATATTATATTAATTGTATACGCATTGTATACATCGAGACGTAGACGATTAATATATACGCGTAAATGCCCATCACTGTCGACAACGTTTAAAATTTTCCACCAGTTGTAAAGTTTTGACAGTTTTAATTGTGCAAGCTACTCTTACTTCAGGACGATAACAAATTGTATATCTACCAAAAGTAGTACCAAAAAAAATTGGGCAGAATTCAGATGGATCTTGGCCTTCATGCGGGTTTCACTCGTAGACAGAAGTGCGAGAAGTGTGTATCAATCCATTCTAGAAAGAGATAGAAGCCGGCTGAAGAGCGAAGGTGGCGCAGATGGTCGTGCAATCTGCCGCTCTACCAATATATTACACCAGAAAATATTCCCACATCCTTCTACAATTGGTTAGGCTACTGTCAAACCCAAAAAGCAGGTCTGTTCGAACATTAAACTTGATATTTTTTTTTTCATTTCGATTAGAATTATTTTTTCAATTTTGATGCGTTTTGGTGTTTTAATTTATTTTAGAATTATCTTGGATTTCCACCAATGGTGATAAAATCAACACATCCTGAGTTATAGTTACATTTTGCGACAGCACTGCGGACGCAAAATGTAACAAATAACGTTGGGTAATACAAATTATCACTGCCTGCGAGTACGCAGGTGGAAGTGAACTATGATCATGAAGGTGGAAATGAAATGTTAAGATGCCGTGTTGTAAAACCAACCAATGGTGCAACGGTGTAGAATTTGTTGCGATATTGACCTTTTGTGTGACCTGGAATCACAGTTCAAAAATGTATATGCTCAAAATAAAACCATTATTTGAGCGAAAAGAATAAACTAATGCATATATTCAATAAGTATGATAATTCAAGGAACTGCTGTAACATGTTGGCAAAGCGGCAAATTGCTGCGTCAGCGTTGCTAGGCAACGCGGTGATGTGCTTCGCTACCCAGGCGGCTTCTATCTCTTTCTGGCATATCTGTCTATATACACTTCCCCCTCGTACAGACTGAACTCAAGCCGTCAGGCGAATTTTTCTCTCAGTGTATATGTATAGTCACGCCTTTCCTATGATAATCTGATTAAATCGGGATTTAGTCAAAAAGCAACGTAAATCCCGTATGTAATAATATAGGTTTTATCTTGTATTTTCAGTAAAAATCCTATCTAACTAACTAGTAATGACATTTGCAACGATTTTACAAAATATAAGTGAGAAGGTTGAACAGAAACTCTTTTTGCATTTTCTGATAACTTCCGTAAATGGATGTTATCTAGTTTTGCTCCAGAATTGGATTGCATTTTCCCAAACTCAACGAAAGTTTTCTTTATTGACGGAGGCAGACAACTTCCATGATTAAGCAACGCGAGGCTCTCAATCTACTGCATTGAACGAAATCGATTACTCATATTCTTTTGTGTTTTGTTCTGCTTTTTGCACAATAATTATGGATTATGATTATCTAGAAACGTAAGCAAGATTCTCTTTACTAATTTGATGACTCGTAACTATATGATCAGCTTAGAACCTGATACATTGCAATTCGTTGTCCTTTAGACGTATTTTTTACTTCCAACGCCTATTGGCGAGGAAGTATCGTAATCGCGAAAAATTTGGAAAATGAGATGTCATGTTTTTTGGATGACATATACACCACGAAAAACTATATCGCTTATTTCATACGATCTGTCGGTCTATGTGGAGGTCTATCTGTTGGTTTGTCGGTCCGTCTATCCGCTAGTCCTTGGCCCGTCTATAACATGGATTTTGATGAATTTTCATCACGAAATACAGGGTTTGTCCGGAAAGTAATAAAAAAAATTTATTGAGCCAATCGTTACAATTCTTGAAAAACTTTCAAAATAGGCTCCATCTGCGATGCGGCGCTGCCAGCGCGATTTCCAAGCATCGAAGGCGTCACGGAAGGCATTCTCCGGAATAGCCTTGAGAGCCGTGGTGCATGCTGCTTGGATCCCCTCTGTCGTCTCAAAATGTTTGCCTTTTATCGGCCTTTTCAGGCGAGGAAACAGAAAAAGTCCGGGGGGCACATCTGGGTTTTAGGACGGCTGCGGAAGCGTTGGGATGCCGGCCTTGGTCAGGTAGCTGTTCACAAGAAAGGCGGTGGGAGCCGGGGCGTTGTCATGGTGCAACTTCCAGTCGGCTGCGATGTCTTATCGGACCCGACTCACCCTTCGTTTGAGTCTCCTGAGCACTTCCACGTAAGACTTGGCGTTGACGGTTTGGCCAGGAGGAACAAATTCATAGTGGACGATGCCTTTGATGTCAAAAAAGACAATGAGCATCGTTTTCACTTTGGATTTGCTCATTCTTCCCTTTTTTGGGCGAGGAGACGCCGTCGTGTGCCACTCGGAAGATTGCTTCTTTGTCTCGGGATCATACTCAAAGATCCACGACTCGTAACCTGTGATTACGTTATTCAAAAATGGGGGTCACTTTCACACACGTTCAAATTTTCTTGGCACACTTCCTCTCGTCGCAATTTCTGGTCGTCAGTGAGCACTTTTGGGACCATCTTCGCGCAGACCTTGCGCATGTCCAAATGCTATGTCACAAAGTCATGAACCACAGATTTTGGTAAATTTAACATCTGGGCAATTAAACGAATACTTAATCGATGGTCTGAGTTCAAAACTTTGCGCACACGAGTCACATTATCGGTGTTTGTCGAAGGTCTTTCACCACGGTCTTCATCAGTGACCTCTTCCCGCCACTCCAAAAAGGCCTGGGCCACCGAAACACACTACTTCTTGAGCAAGCTGCTGCATTCATTCGGGGAAAGGACTCCACTCTAAAAGCCTAAACCGATGCTTGGCTACATCGAGCATGCACATGAGTTCTTGAATACGAACAGTACTTATAAAATATGTTCACCAAGAAAAAGTGACACCCACGTCATATTTCCGATCCCTTTTTTGTTATTTTTGTTAGATGTGCTCCTTGGATTCTACAACAGTACTTGAAATTTCAATTCAACTGAACAGTGAGTACTTTTTCATTTAGTTTTTTTTACTAGTTCGCTCACGTTTCACCACACACATATTAGCTTTGTTATACCAAGCGTAGTTGTTCCTGAAAAGGAAAACCATAACCTGTATCTACGTTTTACTAGCAACCAAGTTCTCAAGCTGGTAACGCTATCATACGAGTTTATTATGGAATATCACAGAAGCCTTACAAATACGCACCTTTTCTAACACTAAGAAGACCATAATCCGGTTATTTGTTTCCAAGTGTTATTTTAGAACTTAACCAGACTTAAAATGTATTTAAAGCTGGATATAAAATAGGCCTTACTGTGGATATTTATTGAATTTTTAGTTAGCGCCAGCCAGTTTTTCGCAATAACAAAAAACAAAGCTTCATTCTATTTTCAACTCCAATCTATTTGCTTTTTATGAACCTAAAAACAAAAACCGCGTACAAATATACAAAAATAGACTACAAGGCCAATATTTCAGTTATCACACGCGACGCTTAATTTTCCAACAGCACAAAAAGGCTAACATACTAATTTATAGACAATTTAGGTCAGTGTGTAACTCAGAAGTATCGAAATCTGTCCATTATTATTCAGTTGATCCTCGGACGCAATTAATTGATAACGCTTTATGGCGACGAATCATTAGTCAAGCAATCAAGTCCCGGTTGAACTTTCATGGTAATGAATTACTTTATGATTAGTTTCGCTCTTGACATATTACACGGGCCGGCCAGGGGCGTACTAGCAATGGAATTAACAATTATAGGATTAACTGAAACTTAATGACTCAAGATATACGAGGCGTGTTTTTAAAGTAAGTACCGTTTTTAAATTACGCCGCCGCAGCGCTGCGGTCGCCGTTTAGCGCA